AGCTCTTCGGGTTATTTGCATGCCATTAAGACAGAACAACCATTTGTAAAATATTTGTATGTGTGTTTGTCTGTCCGGGCTTATCTTCGGAACGACTGAACCGATTGTTATGAAACTTCACGAACAGTTAGAGAGCACTGCCTGGAATTATTTAGAAAAATTTACTACGTGGTAGAGCCATGCTGCGGCTATATTAATAGTATAGTTGTAGCACGAATGGGTCGGCTCGATCGGGGAAGGTCCACGCTCTCACAGAATACCAGCGTAAAATAGCAGTGAAACATAGCAGCATTAAGCTGCTATGTTTCGTATGAGAACCGGAGACCCTGTTTACTGGAAAAGAGGCATTCTATGTTAGTCCTCACGGCTGACAATGCAAACGAAGATATATGTAGATGTCTATGGGCAACAGCAACCACTTACAATCAGGTGGACTGTGTGCTCGTTTCTCACCCTTATTTTATAAAAAAAATGATAAAATAAATGAAAATGTCACCATATTAATAGATCTCACCTAGGCGAAGTCGAGGCGGCTCGTTAGTAAGTAATAAAATATAATATGCTTAGGAATATACTAAGAAAAACGACTAATTTGACTTATTTTAGGTGGTAGTACTATTTTTCTGCCTAGGTACCACCCTCTTACAGGAGGTTATAGAGATCCGATATATCTCCAGGTTGTGAGGCATTCCATATTAGTTCTTAAAAGTGACAATGCATCTGTAGCCCTCTTTATTTGAAGTTGGCTGCAGGTGTCCATGAGCTGCAGTGACCACTTTACATCAGGTGGACTGTGAGGTCGAAATATATATTATATACTCTGTGGAGTAGTTGTCGCTTATGGCAAAGAGGGGTTTCTAGCGGGAACTTGAACGGCGGCGCGGCGGCGGCGGTTTGCTGCTCCTGTATTATTGTTTAAATAATGGTTTGAAGTGGACTATGATATGTAAAAGTGGTGCGATTTTGTGTATTAAGTGTCTGCACATGTGAACTATTAGTGGAAACGGTGAAACAAGTGCTCTGATGATGATGTGATTTTCAAGATAAGGTGTCTGTCTGATTAGGCGCATTGAGATACCATCGCCAACTGTCAGCTGTCTGTTGGCTCAAGTTGCCATCAAAATCTCCCAAGGGCTGCACAATGTGACGCATCAACATATTGTGAAGCAGTGTACTATGAAGGATAATTATACATTGTAACTTCAGGCTCAGAAGGGCTAGAACCCAGAGCCGTAAAGCCAGTTATAAAAATTATAGCAAAGATCCATTTTCTTTTATCATCCAATGGCTAATTATTGCAATTCAGTTTGGAAATGCAGCCAGCGTCCTTGACAATACGTGGATTTTTTATATATAGATATTATGTTATATAAATAAATATTAATATTAACTGGTCTGCGAATGTTGTCTTTTACGGGCTGACAGAAGGTGATAAATAATTAAATCGATTATTTATTAACACGTAAAATTAATAATTACGTGTATTATAAGATCACTTTTACACAGGTACTCGTATTAAAATACTCAATCATCTGCCACCTGATAGAAAATCTATGGACTTGCCAAAATTTAAAATACACCTCAATAAGTGGAATACATAATGTTTTATTTTATAATTTAAACGAATATTTTAATAGCAAACATTAATTTATGTAAAGTTCTTGTTTCTTAATTATTGTATACACGATACGGGTAAACTCTGTAACATTTAATTGCAATTTCATACACAAATTTTACTTACCTACACAGTTTACTGACAATAAATAATTTGATTCAGATTCTGAAGGTAACATGCGTCTTGCGTTATCAAATACTGCTCCTCGATTTGACGTTTTAATCCAGCATAAACAGCAGCAACCATCATATTAACTATCTATTCATCACCCTTATTCTATAGAAATATAGGGGACTTCACTCGAACCTAAACGCCGTCCACTACCATCTTGAGACGGCAAAGCCGGCCTTGCTCTTTCTGACCGAGACGCAGGTGTCCTCTCCGGCTGATACTTCGTATCTCTCCTACCCGGGGTACAAATTGGAGCACTCCTTTGTGCCTCGGGCTGGAGTTTGCGTGTATGTCAGAGAGGACATCTGTTCTCGACGCCTCGGCAGTCTTGAAGGTTCGGACCTGTCCATCCTTTGGCTACGCGTAGACAGCGACGACCATCCGCGCGTCTACGTGTGCCTCTATAGGTCCCATAGCGGTAATGCCGAAACAGACCGACTCATCGACCACGTCCAAATGGCTACAGATTCCTTGCTACAACAGGTCCCATCCGCAGAGATCGTGATCCTTGGCGATTTTAACGCCCACCACGCCGAATGGCTCGGTTCACGTTTAACCGATCATGCGGGGAGATCTGTTTATGACTTTGCCTTGGCATATGGTCTGACACAACTGGTTACATCGCCTACGCGGATTCCAGATGTTGAGGATCATACACCTTCCCTGTTGGACCTTCTGCTGACCTCTCATCCGGACGGATATCAGGTTTCCGTCGATGCCCCTCTTGGCTCTTCGGACCATTGTCTGATCCGGAGTGTGGTGCCACTCACGCTCCCCTCGCGGTTGCGTTCTGCAGGTTGCCGCCGTGTTTGGCATTACAGGTCGGCGGATTGGGACGGAATGCGGTCTTTCTTTGCTTCCTACCCATGGGGGCGGGTTTGCTTCTCGCCGGATGATCCCAGCGCTGTTGCTGACTCTGTCACTGATGTAGTGCTACAGGGAATGGAACTATTTATTCCATCATCTGTGGTACCCATCGGAGGCAGATCTCAGCCTTGGTTTGGTCGCTCCTGTAAGACTGCATTACGCAGTAAGCAGGAGTGTTATCAAGCCTGGGCTGCGGCTTCGGTGACTCGGGATGTAAACACCAGCACACTCAAAAAGAAGTATAACTTCGCCTCCAGGTCCTTCAAAAGAGTTATTGCCAAGGCAAAGTCAGAGCACATAGGCAGAATTGGTGAGAAACTAGTTCGCCTTCCTTCGGGAACCCGTGCATTCTGGTCTCTCGCCAAGGCTGTCCAAGGGAATTTCTGTAAGCCATCACTACCATCTCTGCACAGGGAGGACGACTCACTGGCCCACGACGCAAAAGAGAAGGCCGACCTTTTAGGCTCCCTTTTTGCGTCCAACTCGACTGTTGATGACGGGGGGAACACACCGCCGACCATCCCGCGGTGTGAGTGCTCCATGCCGGATGTGCGATTCTCACAGCGCTCGGTTCGCAGAGCACTCCTCTCCCTTGACATCCACAAGTCGAGTGGGCCTGACGGAATCCCCCCAATTGTGCTGAGGATGTGTGCTCCGGAGTTGGCACCGGTTCTAACGCGTCTTTTCCGGTACTCCTACTCCCTAGGCGTAGTCCCGAAATCATGGAAGACAGCTTTTGTCCACCCGATCCCTAAAAAAGGCGACCGCTCAGATCCGTCCAACTACAGGCCTATCGCCATCACCCCCTTGTTCTCCAAAATAATGGAATCCGTTGTAAACTGCCACCTCATGCGGTACCTTGAGGATCACCAGCTGATTAGTGACCGCCAGTACGGTTTTCGTCGGGGTCGATCAGCTGGTGATCTTCTGGTCTACTTAACTCATAGATGGGCGTTGGCAGTGGAGTCCAAGGGGGAGGCATTGGCCGTTAGTTTGGACATTGCGAAGGCCTTCGATCGGGTTTGGCACAAAGCGCTTCTTTCGAAGCTCCCTTCCTATGGGCTTCCCGAGAAATTATGCAATTGGATCACCAGCTTTCTTGCAGATCGGAGCATCAAGGTCGTTGTAGACGGTGCATGCTCCGACTACAAGCCTATTAACGCTGGTGTTCCACAAGGCTGCGTGCTATCACCAACGCTGTTTCTTCTGCATATCAATGATATGTTGCAAGCTGGTAGCATTCATTGCTATGCAGATGACAGCACTGGTGATGCTCTATACACCGGCCGTGCCAATATTTCTCGGGAAAACGTCATCGAGTACCGGAACAAACTTGTGTCTGAAGTCGAGTCTTTGCTGGACAAAGTCTCGGATTGGGGCCGACTAAATCTAGTCCAGTTTAATCCTCAGAAGATACAAGTTTGCGCGTTTACCGCTTAAAAGAACCCCTTTGTCGTATCTCCTCTGTTTCAAGGTACTCCCCTTGTTGCCTCAGCCAGTATCGGAATCCTCGGCGTCGACATATCGAGTAGCGTGCAGTTTCGTGGTCACTTGGAAGAGAAGGCCAAATTGGCCTCTAAAAAGCTTGGCGTGCTCAGCAGAGCGGGACAGTATTTCATGCCGGCTCAACGCCTGCAACTTTACAAGGCGCAGGTTTGGCCTCACATGGAATACTGTTCCCATCTCTGGGCTGGGGCTCCCCAGTGCCAGCTTCTTCCACTTGACCGCATCCAGCGCAGAGCGGCTCGAATCGTCGACGACCGAGTCCTTTCCGATCGGCTCGACTCTTTGGCACTGCGAAGAGATGTTGCATCTCTCAGCATTTTCTTTCGCATTTACCATGGGGAGTGCTCTGAGGAATTGTTCGGATTAATCCCAGCCGCCAAATTTCACGAACGCACATCGCGGCAGAACTCCCGATATCATCCACACCATCTGGATGATTGGCGGTCCACCACTGTGCGATTTAGAAGATGTTTTCTTCCTCGCACAACTTCCTTGTGGAATAGTTTACCACCAGCGATTTTTCCGGACCGATACGACTTAGAGACCTTCAAGAAAAGAGCCTACTCCTTTTTAAAAGGCCGGCAACGCATCTGCGATTCCCCTGGTGTTGCGGTTGTTCATGGGCGGCGGTAGTCACTTACCATCAGGTGAGCCGCATGCTCGTTTGCCCCTATAAAATACTCCTATAAAAAAAAAAAAAAAAAAAAGAAATATACCACGTCTTGAAATATTACAGATCTTTAGAAATTTTGTAAGATTAAGTTAAATAGATAGTTCTTTTGTTGTTGGTACTATAATTTATTGAAATATTTTTATTTATTTTGTTTCAGAATAAGCAAAAATGTTCCAAGGAGGCATCTGGACGAAGTTGCAAGACTACTACAAATGGTACGTCCTGGGTTTGGTATCCGTTGGCTACATACTTGGAGAACTTGGGCATTACCTAATAGGTAAGTGATCTATGAATATATTGTAAAACATTTTTTTTAATAATAGGTCGGGGAAAAGTTACTTCGTATTTTGTTTGTATAAAATGAAAAAAAATCTCTTTGGTTGTTCCTGTTTGTATTTGGCTGGTTTTATATATAATATATATAGGAAATTAAGAAAAATAAAAATAAAAAGTAAAAAACAAACATTTTCCAATGGTTTTTCTGTCCGCCAAAATGAGTGAATCTAATGCAGAAATTCGATACGTTCTGAAGTTTTATTACAAAAAAGGGGAAAAATGCGACTAAAGTCGCGTAAAAATTTGCGACGTTTATGGACCTAATGCAGTATTACAAAGTAAGAGTAGCACAAAATTGATTCAAGCGTTTTCAGTCCGGGAATTTTGATTTGAATATGCAGCTCGCTCTGGTCGCCCCCATATGGATAAAGTCGATGCCATCTTTGAAAAAGTGGAGCAAGATCGGCATATTAGTAGTTACGACATAACCGAGGAATTTAGGATTGACCACAAAACAGTTTTGACCTATTTGAAAAAGACTGGCTATACAAAAAAGCTCGATGTTTAGGTATTACACGAGCTCTCTAAAAGAAATCTAATGAATCGTGTACTTGTACTCATTTGTGATTCTCTATTGAAACGTAATGAAACCGAACTATTTTTGATTGAAAAGATTGATCACTGGTGATGAAAAGTGGATCACCTACGACAGGAACGTGCGAAAAAGATCATGGTCAAAGGTTATTCAAGCTCCACAGACTGTAGCGAAACGGATTAACACGCAATAAGTTGATACTGTATGTATGGTGGGATTGGAAGGGCATCGTTTATTATGAGCTTCTACCGCCGAGCAAAACCATCAGTTCGGATCTCTACAGCCAACAACTAATGAGACTCAAGCAAGATATTGAGAATATATGCCCGGAATCCATCAACAGAAAGGGAGTGGTCGTTCATTATGACATTGCCGGACCGCACACATCTTTTGCCACCCAGCAAAATTGAGGGAGCTTGGTTGGGAAATGTTAATGCATCCACCATATAGTCCTAACCTTACACCCTCAGATTTTCACCTGTTTCAGTCTCTTCAGAATTCTTTGGGTAGTGTTGGGTTAACATCAAGACAGGACTGTCAAAACTACATACTTGTCGCATTTTTTTATCAAAACTCCCAAGATTTCTACTGATGGCAACAAGTTATTAACAAAATGGCACATATATATTATTATAATGAAATGTAATTAAACTTTGAAAAAAAAAATTTTTTTTTGATATTGTATACATATAAAATACGAAGAAAATTTTCCCCCGACCGAAAGAATAAATATAATTCTTTCACTTAAAGAAGTTTCTTACTAGTTTCTTGCTTGTAAAATCTGAGTCTTTGGCGATAGCGTATCTCTATGAGTCGATCACTGGATTTTTTTAATATTTGCTTTATTTAGCTAAAAATAAATCATTACTTGGAATAGTGCAAATATTAATTGTACAGACCCAATCAAAAAGGGTGAATAAATTGGGTAAAATCTCTATTTTAGGAGGTCAGTGTGTCTAGCGAAGTCACAGCATATTGAAAAAAACGTTGCACTGTAGTTAATTATTATCTGTGTATTATACCAAAACACCTCTCTTGAATCGATTGAAAAAAAACTTGTTAATGTTTTTAAACATGAACAAAAACTCCTATCTAAGTAAGTTCTGTGCTTTGCTTACGATTAAATAAAAAAGTTTCGCGCGGTTTTTTGCTGACTCTAGATTAATAGGCTACGTTCAAGGTCATTGTCACGGCCGTCGGTAGCAGTTAAATGTAGAATTGCTTAAAGATTACCTTGAAGTGTGACTTATTAATTTAACTTGCTTAAAGGATCTAAGCTGTATGACTGTTTAATCCATAAGACATGAATGTAATTAATAGTGTTGTCAATTCGACTATGATACACTCTATCGAATGGATTACTTGAAGTGTGAATGTAGTATGGAAAAAACCTTGTAATGGCGGTGTAAGAATATCCACTACCCCATGTCGTCTCGTGGTGTTCAGCAATGGAATTTTGATAGATAATCTGTCAGTAATTATTTTCTACCGACTTCAAAAAGGTGACGGTACTCAATTCGACTGTACGTTTTTTTTATGTGTGTTACCTCATAACTTTTTACTGGGTGAACCGATTTCGATAATTCTTTTTTTTATTTGAAAGTTGGTGCTTCACATGCCACCTATATAAATTTGATCAAGGTCTGACCAATAGTTTTTCAGTTATTCTTAATAATTTATATTGAAGTCGGTTGTACAAAACTTTTAATTTTAAATTATGTTGGCAACAAGTCATCATGTGTTTGACAATTGACATTGGTAATATGAATGTAAACAATGGTCTTATTTTATTTAATGTATTTGTAACATATTATAATCTCAATATTAACTTTAAGTATGTAAAATTTCACACCTCCGTGTGCTCAATAAGCTTAAAAAGGGGTACAACGTTTTAATTTTACAATAGCCGGCCAAATTCCCAGAGAAGTTTCAGAATAAGTAATATTTTTTTATAGGATTGGGTGACAAACGAGCACACAGTCCACCTGATGGTAAGTGATTGCTGTGGCCCATAGACATCTACATCTCTCCTCGTTTGCGAATTAAAATGCAGATGCGTTGTCACCCGTGAGGACTAAGATAGAATGCCTCTTTTCCAGTAAAAAGGGTCTCCGGTTCTCTACACTCACCATATGAAACACAGCAGTGTCAAATTGCCATTTTACGCTGGTATTCTGTGAGAGCGTGGTCCTTCCCCGTTCGAGCTGCAGCATTGCTCTACCACGTTTAAAATATATAGCAAAATATATAATATAGGCAAATGGTGACGAAAACTCAATTTAAAAATATCTCAAACATTCTCTCCTTTTTACCTTTTAAATACAAATTGCGTGGTAATGCGTTATTTACTGCGCACGCACACATTCGTAAGGGTTCATTGTTACAAAAACATTGTTGCCCATAAATCACATTCAATTGGAATAATTTCAAACAAAAGTAGAAGCCTTATTTACTCGTATTTTCAAAAAGTAAAATAACGGTATACCATTATTTATATATTTTAACTTTTTATATAAATCGTCTCCTTTGCAAGTTTCGTTCGACATTTATATTTTCATTAAAGATACCTATTAAAATTATGTGTATAATTTACATATCATTTATAAATTTATTCACTGGCACATGCGAATAATAAGGAAATTGGTAACAAAACTAGATTCGTACTTCCTGGTTAACCAAGTTTATTATTGTTTTTCGTAATTTAAATTAGATTTAATACCTAGCAGAGTCCTTAAGCATTGAAAATCAAACGATAAATATGCAATAACATTAGATAAGCCAACGGATTTGTCGTTGGATCCTCCCACTTTAACTAACATGTGTAGCCTCATATTGTAATAGAGAAGTCATCTTTTTTCTGAAAGGTTTTTTTTATAGAAATAAGGGTAACAAACGGGCACACAGTCCACCTGATGGTAAGTGCATTTTGTTGCTCATACACACGCAAGTACAGTACGGATCACTTTTTACTTTTTATTTTATGTTTACATATTTTTATATATCTATTTTTTTTATTTATCGACACATTAAAGTTCACCGCATATATACTATATGCAAGATGGCTTACTGATATTTATTTGCATTTTCTATAGCATCTACCACCGGTAGTGCTCTGAGGAGTTGTTCCAAATTTCACGAACGCACATTGCGTCACGATTCACGATACCATCCTCACCATTTGGATGCTTGGCGGTCCACCACTGTGCGTTTACTAGGAGTTTTCTTCCTCGTACGACTTCTCTGTGGCATTGTTTACCACCGGCGATTTTTCCGAACCAATACGACTTAGGAACCTTCAAGAAAAGAGCTTACACCTTTCTAAAAGGCCGACAACGCATCTGCAATTCCCCTGGTATTGCGGTTGTTCATGGGCGGTGGTAGTCATTTACCATCAGGTGAGCCGCATGCTCGTTTGCCCCTCTTCTATAAAAAGAAACATATTTATTTTTTGTATACAGCTACATTTTATATTCTTTCGGCTTTATTTATTATATCTTTCTTTTTATTTATCGACACATTAAAGTTCACCGCATATATACAATATACAAGATGGGTTACTAGGGACCTTCAAGAAAAGAGCTTACTCCTTTCTGAAAGGATGGCAATGCACCTACAATTCCCCTCGTGTTGCAGTTGTTCATGCTCGTTTGCCCCATCTTCTATAAAAAAAAAAGACGCCACTTGCAACACCAATGGTTCGAAAGCGATGGATTATCTTACGTCGCCAGTACAAAGCAAAGACCAAGTGTTAAGGATAGCGCGTCCTCTTCGGAAACGTTCGTCGCCACTCAGTCACACTAGTCAAGATAGGTGCATTCACACGAATGCAACAGTTTACAATTTATTTTCGTTTATCGCTGGCTTGAGTTAAAACCCTGCATTGTTATGTAACAAATTGAAATGAAATGAAAAATGAAATGATTGCAAAGAAAAATAATACAAAAACAAGTAATTGACGAAGCATTACCGTTACTTTTACAGCCTGAACATAGTCTCCCCCATATTTTGCCTCAATAAGGAGATATTTGCCATAGTTGCCACGTTTGGCAGGTTGGCAACCGCAGTTTTTATTTTCTAGTTGCTATTATACCACGTTTACATTCAACCCATTGCCGCGGGAACGAGCAGGGGCGGGGAATGTAAATAGGTCTTTTTCATTGCCTTTGACGTCGCCGTTCGCATTGCCCGGCTATTCCCCATTTGGCGGTTTTTCTTACAGACATCAAAGCGCGGCAATGCGAGCGGCAACGTGCGTTCACATGTAGCTCTCTCGTTCAAAAAACATGAAATTGTTTAAATTTCTAATTTAGCTTACGTCATTTTGATAGACCTAATTAAGAGAAACAAATCTTATTGTTATTTAATGTTTTTTATAGGATAGGGTTACAAACGAGCACACAGTCCACCTGATGGTAAGTGGTTGCTGTGATCCATAGACATCCACATCTATCCTCCTAAGGAATCATAATGCAGATGCGTTGTCACCCGTGATGACTAAGATGGAATGCCTCTTTTCCAGTAAAAAGGGTCACCGGTTCTCTTCACTCACCATACGAACCATAGCAGCGTTAAGCTGCTATTTTACGCTATTATTCTGTGGCCTTCCCCGGTCGAGCCGACCCATTCGTGCTACAACTATACTACTAATATAGCTGCAGCATGGCTCTACCACGTAAATGTACCTACATTGTTAATATTATCCTACTATGTCATAGGTATAAGGTTCAAAAGTTTTTAATATCTTTTTAATACTTACATTGTTCTGTTACGAAGAATTGCTATTACCATCTTCTCTGACGCCGACGTCTCTTGAAAACTATTTTTTTTTTACATTTAAATAATTAATTAAACTTATAAGGCAGAGCACCGACGTAGCGTCAGTTTCCACGTTTTCCATTGCCCAGAGTCGAATTGAAAATGCATATGAAGGAGCAATGTAAACACTCATTTCTGTTGACGTTGCCACAGCAATATTTGAGGAAATATGTATGGCAGTGCAAGCGGCATCGGAAATGGCTGAAAGAATGTAAATAATAAATAAGTAATGGAGAGATACGGGAACGTCCATCACTGGTAAAGCATATAGTCCTCGAGCAGGGTATGTTTCCATGATTGGATGATAAAATCAGGAGTAACGGGTACTAGGGAACAATACTTTCAGTACAAGTGAGATGTGAACGAGTTTACTCAAATTAGTACTGTTGGGGACCACAGAAGTCTTAAGGCGGTATTAGGAAGACGCTACTGCCCATCTCCTGGTTTCCTTCTGTCGCCTCTTACGACACTCGAACACCAAGGTGGGTATTGTGTAGGGGTGGTGGATATTCTTAGACCGTTCAATCTTTAGAACGTTCGTTGGTGTTTATTACAAAGAATTCATTCAGTTTTACGGCGACTCAATAAGACGTCATAAGTTTCAACCAGTTTTAGTTCTATTCAATGTTCTTTTTAATGCAATTTGTGTGCTTTAGAGCGTCGTAAAAACGAATTCTTTTTTTAACCGGCTTCAAAAAAGGAGGAGGTTCTCAATTCGACTGTATTTTTTCTTCGTGTGTTACCTCAAAGCCGATTCATTCGTGGTACAACTATGTATGAACATAGTTGCAGCACGAATGAATCGGCTCAACCGAGGAAGGACCACGCTCTCACAGTGTACTACCTAATGCTGCTGTGTTTGTATATTGAGTGTAGAGAACGGCGACATTTTTGACTGACTGAAACGAGGCTTTCCATTTTAGTCCTCAAGGTCTTACTTTTGGGAGGATTATGGAGAAGCTAGGAGCCATGCTGCTCCAGTGATCACGTCCTTAAAATATTTTCTATCTCATCTCGTTTCCAGTAAAAGAGGAATCCGGTTCTCTACACTCACCATACGAAACAGCAGCGTTAAGCTGCTATCGTACTACACGCTAGTATTTATATTGGTATTATTTTTTAATAACAATTTACTTGTTCGTGTTTAGGTACGACATCGAAAGTGACAGCAGACGATCTAAACTACGGTGACAAATCGTGCATGCTGAATGCGACGCATCTAACCCTCAGCCAACTGCCCGTCGTGTGTGAAAAAGTCAACTCCACAGAATTGTAAGTTTGTTTTGTTTATAAAACTGATGTGACAAATAAAATTACAGTTCACCTGGTAGTAAGCTACTACGGTCACGGGGAGAGGGGGGGGGGGGGGGGCTGAGGTAATCGACGTCTCAATGTCATAGTTAACAAAAATGTAAAATTTTTTAATTTGAAAGTTATAGGACCTTAACATAGGTGCTCGAAACGTCGGTAATATAAAATAAGTTAATATAAGCGATAGAATCGGATAAAAGTATTATTTAAACATTAGCTGCGCCCCGCGGTTTCACCCACATAAGTTCGGATACATGATAAAAGGTAGCCTATGTCCTTCTACAAAGTCCCATCTATCTCTATATCAAAATTCATTAAAATCGATTCAACGGTTTAGGCGTAAAAGCGTAACAAACAAAAACAAATAAACAAACTCACTTTCGAATTTATTATATATATACAGGGTGTCCGGTTTCCGATGTCCGATACTTTAAGGGGTTAAAATACAATTAATTTTATCGACAAATCAGGGATCAATGATTTTTTTTCGCCATCAATAAAAAAATGGCAGCACTTTAAAAAAAATTGTTGGCGAAGCATAGATGCTTGCATTAATTTAACAATATCTACCCAAGTAGAAGATTTTCAAAAACAAAATTGGTCTCAAATGTTAGTTAATAGTGTAGACAATAAATCTAGATTCAAAATATTATTTTTTAATTTTTCAGTATTAGTAAAAAACATTTTTGAAAAAATAAATTAGACAACAAATTGATGTTGTTTTTCAGATTCTTAGCTTTAAAAAAAAAACCATCGTGTTAACCAATTTTTTTTACTTGTTTTTATTATAATACAGGATATTTGCTATAAATGCACATTTAAATCTTAACTCTGAGTTAGATAGTTTAGGAGCTATGACAGTGTAAACATACTTACTTGAAAAGCGCGGATACACTAGCAAATGAAATAAAACAAAATAATTTATATCAATTGCATTTAATTTGGCAAAATAATTACAAAAACTGCTCAAAGTGACCTCCTTGTCTCTGCAGACATGCTGTTGCTCTTAGTGCAACGTGTTGCGTAGAGCGCTGGATCATTGCCTTGTCTTCTCGCAATTCGTTTGCTGCTTGAATTATTTTTTCTGCTAACTCCTCTCGTGTATTTGGCACATTTACATACACTCTTCGTTTGAGTGTGCCCCACAAAAAAAAATCGAGAGGTGTTAAATCCGGCGACCGCGGTGGCCAAGCAATTGTTCCTCCGCGTCCGATCCACGACGAATAGTGTGCATTTAAATGATTCCGCACAAGAAGCGCGAAGTGTGCCGGAGCACCATCCAATTGCAGAATCATTCTGGCCCTGTAGGCCAATGGTAACTCCAATAAAGCATCCAAAAAATTCGTTTCCAGGAAATTTAGGAATCTTGGGCTATTCATTGTCTCCGGTAAAATGATTGGTCCAATTAGAATGTCGTCAATCATTCCGGCCCAAACGTTGACAGAAAATTTATGTTGAAAAGAACTTGGGCGGATAGCATGTGGATTTCTTGAAGCCACAGGTGTTCGTTACGGTAGTTCGTATACCCTGATCGCGTGAAAGTAGCTTCGTCTGTCCACATAATTCTTTTTAAAAAGTTTGGATCATATCGCGTTTCTCTCAATATCCACGAACAAAATATTGCTCTTCTTACATAATCCGGTTCCAGTATTTCTTGCACCCTTCGAAAATGGTAAGGATGTAATCCTTCTCTTTTTAAAATTTTCCACACCGACCATTTTGATAGACTGAGACGATTAGCTATGCGTCTAATGCTCAGGCTAGGGTGTTGAGTAATCATTTGCAATATTTGATGTTCATCTTGGAGCGACAAAACACGAGTACGTTCGTTACCGAGCCTTCTTATTCCATTTTCCGCAAGTCTCAAATGAATTCTCACGAAAGTGCTAGCATTCGGCGTACGTCTGTTAGGAAATCTGCGTGCATACTCTACAACAGCTCTATTTGCACTCCCGTTACACAATCCATACACGAAATGGATGTCAGCGATACGCTGGCTTGAGTACTCGTTCATTGTAATAAACAAAAAGTAACAGTTCAACTACAAAACAAAAACGTAACAAAGTCTAACAACAAACAATAATTATGTACAGTAAGTAGATTTACTTAAAACCAGGAATGTTATCACAACGCAGAGCGAGGGACGACTGCTCGACGGCACAAGCGCACACTGCACCCTTTTTACCTGGAGACAGCCGTTATTCTGTCTCGCTCGCACTGTTGTGCACAGCGTTTTTTACCTGCTCACACAAAGGATGCTATTGTGCTTGCTTACGATTCCTTGAATTATTGAAGAATTTTATCTTACTCACTGGAATGGGTGTTTAGTTATCTAATATCGGGGTAGAGGCACTTTGAACAGTTACATTCAAATTATCATAGCTCCTAAACTATCTAACTCAGAGTTAAGATTTAAATGTGCATTTATAGCAAATATCCTGTATTATAATAAAAACAAGTAAAAAAAATTGGTTAACACGATGGTTTTTTTTAAAAGTTAAGAATCTGAAAAACAACATCAATTTGTTGTCTAATTTATTTTTTCAAAAATGTTTTTTACTAATACTGAAAAATTAAAAAATAATATTTTGAATCTAGATTTATTGTCTACACTATTAACTAACATTTGAGACCAATTTTGTTTTTGAAAGTCTTCTACTTGGGTAGATATTGTTAAATTAATACAAGCATCTATGCTTCGCCAACAATTTTTTTTAAAGTGCTGCCATTTTTTTATTGATGGCGAAAAAAAATCATTGATCCCTGATTTGTCGATAAAATTAATTGTATTTTAACCCCTTAAAGTATCGGACATCGGAAACCGGACACATTGTATATATATATATATATATATATATATATATATATATATATATATATATATATATATATATATATATATATATAGATAATAGTAGATATAGATATATACGAAAATAATAAAAAGCTGCGGTTGCCAACGCGCATGCCAAGCGCGGCAACTATGGCGAAATCCCCCCTATCACTTATATTCAGCAGTGGGCTTTTATGGTCTGTAAATAAGGAATGAATGGAACCAACATAAAACTGACGCGATATGACGTAAGTAATACCAATGCAACGTGCTACAAAAAAAAGTTGTGATTTTATACAAATATTACTTTTTTTATAGGATAGGGTGACAGACGAGCAAACAGTCCACCTGATGGTAAGTGGTTGCTGTGGCCCATAGACATCCACATCTATCCTCAATAAAGAATCAAAATGCAGATGCGTTGTCACCCAGTCTTCCAGTAAAAAGGGTTTCCGGCTCTCTACACTCACCATATGAAACACAGCACCGTAAAGCTGCTATTTTACGCTGGTATTCTGTGAGAGCGTGTTCCTTCCCTGGTCGAGCAGACCCATTCGTGCTAAAACTATGCTACTAATATAGCTACAGCATGGCTCTACCACTTACAAATTTTACTTACCTAGGATTTGAACCCTCACCCACAAACTATTATTTTTTATCTCCTAAAACTTCAAAAAAGTTTTGTGACCTATGAAACAGTCTATTGGGGTAGGGTAATGTTCAGCAGTGGACTTTGATAGGCTGTTTTGATGATGATAACCGATATCTGATTGACAAAAAGTTAACTATCTCTTATGATATAACAAAACATTTCAATTTCATCCCAAGAGCTGACTGACACAATACAGACTGTGTCAGTCGACATCAAGATGATTAAAATCCATTGTTAACGTAGTTGTTTTAAAACCCATTCGTTTTAATTGAAAGCATTTAATTGGGCGATGAATCATTCTGGAATGTTCATTAACGCAGACCATGACAAACGCGAAATTATTAGGTCGTTTTTATAATTGTAAATATTTTACAATGAAGTAGAACGGATGCCGCTTTTCATGAATAAATAAATGGCCTACTTTTATCGAATAGACTAACTTTTATTGTTTAAATATTGGCGGCGTTGTGGCTCGGTCATACTATCTCATAAAATGACACCTTGTACTTTAAGTTAATTAAAACTCCTCTAAGTTAAGTAATTATAACCTAATTTAGTAAACTGTGTATTTCATTTATCTTGAAGTGTGTGCTAAAGTATGAAACCGTCAGCGATGCAGATATGTACACTGTTCTATAAACAATGTCTTATGATAATATTTTTTTTCAACGCAGTTAATACGTAGTAGAGCTACGCTGCAGCTATATTATGGCTGAAGCACGAATGGATCCGACCACGCTCTCACAGAATGCCAGCGTATAATAGCAACTTAATAGTACTGTGCTTTATGTGGTAGGTGTATAGAAAAGAAGACCCTTTTTTACTGGAAACAAGGCACTCCATCTTAGTCCTCAAGGGTGGCACCGCATCTGCATTTTGATTCTTAATCGAGGATTAATGTAGATGTCTATGGGCCACAGCATCCAGTTACCATCCGATGGACTGTGTGCTCGTTTGTCACTCTTATTCTATATAAAGATATGCATGTTTATTGTTATAATATGTTTGACAATGTTTTTCTTTATGAACGATAACTCGTATAAAATCTGTAATATTTTACTATACATTGTGGTAGTAGCGATTTAGTGGCAAAATAAGAGAATACACTATCCCACAGCATCCAGCGGATGTTCTAAGGAGTGACAGAGCAAATTGAAAGATGTAATGAGCTGCAGCACCTTCCTGATAGTAACTTAATATAAAAAATTGGGGTGACAAGTTGCCAACTCGATCAAGCGTAGCAACTATTGGGTGTCAACCCGATCAAACGTAGCAACTATTGGTTGTCAACCCGATCAAACGTAGCAACTATTGGTTGTCAACCCGATCAAACGTAGCAACTATTGGTTGTCAACCCAATCAAACGTAGCAACTATTGGGTGTCAACCCGATCAAACGTAGCAACTTTTGGGTTTCAACTCGATCAAACGTATAAACTATGGAAAATATCCTATAAATTTATCTACGAGGGAAGCC